TTCAGACCAAATATTTATGTATTATTGTAACCAACAAGACAAATTAAGTCATATATATGGATTTAATTATGATATCAGAATGATCCAGGTGTCAAAATTTAGCTTTTAAAGCCAAAAATGTGTAGATCACCAAAACTCAGCATAAATATACATCATGAGTTTCAATGTAAGTTAAATAAAATCCCTGTAAAATGCATTTTATGTGGAMACTAGGTGTCCCAATATTAAATGTACATTTTTGTCATTAATGCATGTTCCCATACAATGAAGAGATTTGTGCTGATTTGACCGTCACACATGAGAAACACCCAAGTGGCGCCGCTGCTCGGTGTATGTCTATGAAAACAACTTATTTTATRTTTATGTAAGGGAAACGTTGTATCTGTTAAATTAGGAGCCACTGAGTTGTGTAAAATGTGTGTGGTGTCTATAGTTACGACCTTTATTTAGTTATATTTTCATGCCACACATTTGTGCTGTAGGGCCTCAGTGGGCCTCAGTGGGCAGCCTGTGTCCTCAGAAACAGGAACCTCCACCTAGTCCACACTGTGCTGGCCTGTTGAGCCTACCCCCCCACCACACAACCCCCCGCTTCCTGTTTTCACACAGCTTTGCTTTTTTCTGTAAATGTGGAAAAAAGGACTTACTAAAGTAAAAAAAAAAAAACCTTTCTTTGAAAAGTCTTTCTCTGCACTTTTAGTTTCTGCTGTTCCAGAGGAAAATGTTGTTGTTCAAATCTGTCTTTTTGTTAAAGTCCAGAGTGGTTAGGGGAGTCGTCCTGGAACCAGTAGGTGGTCGGTTCAATCCCCTGTCCAGCTGTCTCAGTTGTTGTGTCCTTGGGCAAGACACTTCACCCCAATGCCTCTGATGTGTCCCGTCAGTGTATGAATGTGATTGGCACTGATTGGTCTCCATAGTGATTGTACATGTTAGCTTTGTAGAGACCTAACAGAGTGCTGTGTGAATGGATACATGAGGACACAGATTGTAGTGTGAAGAGCTTTGAGTGTCCTGGATGGATAGAAAGACACCATACAAGTACAGTCCATTTACCATGCTCATTCTACCTTCAGTTATGTCTAGTTACTTTCATGTGTTTCTCCTAAAATTCATTAGGAGGAATAGGTGAGACACACTGAAAAAAAGGATTTTTGGGTGTAGTAACATTTATTTAATCCATCCATCCATTTTCTGTACACACTTCTTCCTATTCAGGGTTGTGTGGGTCACTGGTGCCCATATCCAGCAGTCACAGTGCGAGGGGCGGGGTACACCCTGGACAGGTCTCCAGTCCATCACAGGGCCATTTATTTAATTGTTCTCTTAAATTATACAAAAAATATCAACAACTCTAAACTATTAGAATTTACTAAATAAACAATACACATTATATTATATATCAATATTACTGTACAAAAACAGTAAATGCTAATATTATTTCATCAGTAATATTTAAGTGTTTTTTTCTGGACAGCACATAAACATGAATATATGAAGTAACTTCTACTCTTCTGGACTAAAACTAAAACTGAGGCTGCATGCACACACAAAGGCTGCTGCTCCTCATTCCCTTGATTCACTTTTCAAGGAGAGGACAAGACATGGTGCAAATAAAACATAAGTTGTCTGGTTTCTTTTGCTTCAATACATTTGTTGGTGTGCAACAGTTTGATGACATAA